AAAAAGCAACCAAAAAATCTTGGCAGGTTTTATCTTATCAGTACGTGCGGCACACCCTAACACCTAGATAACGATATCAGCTAACAAATGGACCGGTTAATTGATCCCATTACCGACACTGAAACCACAAGCGAAAAGTTGTCACCACGCAATCACTTATCTTACCAACTTGTCACACAATCTAACTTAAATTGTCTCAACATTTCCAGCTTACCTCTCCGAAGAGCGTACGAGCTCCGAATATACTCGAAGATTAACCAAAGATTATCTGAAGGTTTTCGAAGTTACCCGAAGATCCCTGATTTTTTCAAGGCCTGTTTTTAATTTAAAACAACTCCGAAGATTTTCGGAGTGGTATACGAGCTGTGCATACACTCCGAAGTTACTCGAGGATCCGGCCTGAGGAACAATCGAACCCTCATGAATATGGTCGAACACTTATGAGGAATTAAGAAAACGCTAAAAAATATATTTTTATGTTAGTTAAACGGAATTTTTGATGGTGAATTTTGTCTTAGCCAAGTGATAAGTGCATGGATATTGGGTAAATTCAAATCAGTTTGTTTCCGGTTGGACAGTTAACCACCCCGATACCCCACTCCTTTCTCCTCGTCCGAAGAACAAACAACGATCGAAAACGCAGGCCTTGTGAGTACTTGGCATGCAGTAAAATGCGTAATGACGCCATTGTCTAAAAAGTGATCGCGAAATAATTTTTTGAGTTAAAACTTGAGATAATAACTTAAATTTTGAATAAAAATAGGGCGACAAAAAGAAATTCTTGTATATGCGACACGTTAGGTATCACAATACTGTATGGCCACGTGTATAATCACACTATCAGCATGATGTACAATTACTGCGTCGTAATAGCGACGCACGGTCGAGCAAGAAAGAGTAAAGCATTTGCGCTAAGTCGATTAATTGTTCTGCAAAATGGAGTGGAGAAGAACGTACGCGGATGTTGTATCAGGTATGTTCTATTGGAAGTTTGCTGTTTTACATTCCTTGTTCTAGATCTCTGGAGATTTACTGTAATTTCCTTTCATTCGGAGCTCGACGCTCTTCGGAAAATCATCGGAGTTGTTTTGAATTAAAAAAATAGAAAATATTGAAAATAATGAAAATATTTGAAAATATTCGAAAATATTTAAAAATATTGTTGAAATATTCCGGCGGAATTCCGGCGGAATTCCGGATTCCGGCTTTTCCAAACTACCAAGTCCCTCACACCTGCCATCAATTTTCCTTCATTAATAGTAGCTCAAAACTACGTGTGGTCTCGAAGACGTTCTGAAAATTAGTTGCGTTTAGCTTCGTCGGAGTTTGTCTCAATCATATCATGGCCCAGGAATGTGGAAAAAGTAAGCTAAAGTCGATTAGTTAAGCCAGTATCGTCAGAGCGGCCTACAGACCTTACGACAAGCGAAATTCATTTAGTATTGATCTGGGAACCTTGTTTTTTTAAAAAATCGATTGAAATCGGAATTCCAACCATCAAGGGAGGTCGATGTCGCTTAGACCACAATGTACAATACGGGAAAACACACTGACCGACGTGAACGCATACAGCCTTTGTGGGTATTCTTATGTTAACTCTCCAAGCATTATCGTAATTGCAGTCGACTTCCGTATTTAGCCAACTCTTTTCTGTTATTACCTCGATACTACTTTTTTTTTATTCAATTGACCTGCAGCCATGGCTACTAACATCAAGTTGTCCCCCAGAAACTAGCTTTTCCGTGTGATTTTACAAAGCTGGACGAGTGATGTTTTAGTAATAACCATTCGCCAGAAGCTGTAACGAGCTCACGATACGAAATATTTCAGATCCCTTT